TCACTTAATAGTCTTAAGAATGGACCTCAGCAGTCCCCTTGACTTATAATAGGAAAGAACAGTTACAAATCAGGCCATTAGTGCAGAGAGAGTGCTGCAGTTGGGGTGGGTACCTCTTCAGGGGCAGAGGATTTCAGGATCTCTTTTGGCTGGTCCTGATTCAGGTTTATGTTCCTTAATCTGTTTGTGTCTTAATCATCAGTCATAGACATCCCATTCAGCATACTAGTGCCAGGTTCATCACAGGCTGTTCTTACAGCGTTTCAACCTTCTAAGACTATTTTATGCAGACAGAGATGGACAGTTGGAAATTGCTTTAAATAATGTGATTTTAGGAATGTATCTGTGGTAGGCAGAATAATGGCCTCCCTAAAGACATCCATGTCCTAATCACCAGGATCTGTGAAATATGTTATTTTACATGGCAGAGAGGATTAAGGACACAGATGGAATTAAGGTTGTTAATCAGATAACCTTAAAATAGGCGAGTCACCTGGATTATCCAGGTGGGCTCCATTTAATCATGAGGGTCCTTTGAATATGGAAGAGTCAGAGAGAGATTTGAAGATACTATACTGCTGGCTTTGAAAAAGGAGAAAAGGGCCACGTGCCAAGGAACGTGGGCAGTCTCCAGAAGCTGGAAAAGACAAGGAAACAGATTTTCCTCTACAGCCTCCAGAAGACACACGGCCCTACCAACGCCTTGATTCTAGCCCAGTGATAGCCATTCTGGGCTTCTGACCTCCAGAACTGTAAGAAAATAAATCTGTATTAAGTCATTAAATTTGTGGTAATTTGTCAGAGAAGCAATAGTAAACTAATACAATATCCAGTTTTATAATCTTAATTTTAAAACATCTAAGTCTCACTTCTCTGTCAGATTGTAAATTCCTCCAGACCAGTAATCAATGTCTGTGCTTGACACACAGGATACATAATAAGTGTTTATTGAAATTGAACCGTCCTATATGTCAGATGGTCTCCCCACCACTTCTTGGGAGAGTCGCTTACCATCCTTAAAGTCTCCACTCATCTGGGTACATGCCACATAGAGAGGCATCTCCACTTAATATCTGTGGCTCTGAACTTCTTCCTCAGTGACCTTTGATGGGGTCCGGGGGGTGGGGGGTACTGGTGGTGCTCATTTAAACTAGGGTTTGTTTTCTCTGGCCCAAATGTTTTAATACGTGAGATTTGTCTCTCCTGATCAGCAGTTCCATGGGCTTCTTGTGCCTCAATTTCAGCTGCTCTAGAGTAGGACCACCTGTCTGTTAGACAAACTCCACCCTCAACTGAGGTTTTTTTTAATGCCATAGAGGCTTATATTATAATTCATACCATCCCAAACATAGTCTTAAAGTTTGGTGAAAATCTATAAAACATTTTCTTATGATGCAGGAACAGATCTACAGACAAACTACTTATTTTTATATGGTTGGATGCATTTCCCTCCCAGTTGTTAGATGAAACCAACAAAATTGAAGACTTAGAATGAGGGCAGTCTTAAATGTGTTATGCACTGCTCTTTGGGATGTAACATGTATCAGTTATCTATTGCTGCTGTAACTTAGCAGCTTAAAACAGCAAACGTTTATTATGTCGTAATTTCTGTAGGTTAGGAATCCAGGAGTAGCAGCTGGGTGGTTCTGACTCAGGGCCTCTTAGGAGGCTGCAGTCATCCCTAGGCTCGACTGATGGAGGATATGCTTCTGAGTTCTTTCAGTGACTGTTGGCTGGCCTCGGAAATCTGCTTCTGACCTCACGCACATGGCCCTCTCTGTGGGGCTGCCTCATAGCCCAGAGAGAGCCATCGTGTGAAGAGAGCACCCAAGCAGAAATCACAGTTCTTTTAAAGACCCCACTTTGGAATTGACATCCCCTCGCTTCTGTTGTATCCTGTTAGAAGCAAGTCAGTAAGTCCAGCCCTTACCCAAGGAAAAGGGGTCACATGAGGGCATGAGTGCCAGGGGATGGGGTCACGGGGGCCATCTTAGATGCTGCATCTACCACACAGATAAATTAGTGAGTTCATTAGTTTACCAGAGACTAGACAAGTTCATAATATTCCTAACTGGGATTAAGTTCAGTAATATCAGAACAGTTTGTAAAAAACTACAAATGATTTTCCCATATTAGAAGATACAAAATAAAAATAGAAGCCTTTTAACTTTCAGACAGGAAATTCAGAAGGTATATTAGAATAATAAACACAGTTTACTATTTTTTACCATACTCCCCTCAGAGTGCCCACTTCTAACTCCCTGTTCCAAGTCTTCCCTTCACTTTTTAAATGCTACTTATTCCTCATCTTCTAAAAATAATCTGAAGCAGTTTATATAGAGATGTAATTTGTAACAAGAATTGGAATTAATTAAACAAAGATGAAAGGAAAGACAGAAGTAGAAAACTAAGTCAGAAATAAAACTACTACACACAGGTCATAGTCTGGTGACAATTGAAGAGTTAACAGATTCATAGCTGTGTAGCCGAATAAGTTCATTTTCAGAAAAAAGGCAAGTCCAAGACTGGGAAAAAAGACTTAGAAGACGTATATTTGATCAAAGTCTTTTGTCTAGAATATATAAAGAACTCTTAGAACTCCATAACAATAAGACAACCTGGTGTTTTTAAACGGGGAAAAACTTTGAACAGACTTTTTATCAAAGAAGATATATGAATGACAAATAATAGAAAATAAACCCCCAATGAGGTATTATTAAACCACCTCTCAAATGAAAAAGAGTGACAGTGCCAAGTTTCAGCAAGAATGTAGCACAACTGGAATTCTCAGTTCACATTTTTTACAAAGTTAAACCCACTCTTACCGTATAACCCAGCAGTCCTACTCCTAGGCATTTTACTCAAGAGAAATGAGACTATGTATGCACGAAGACCGGCTTATATGATGTTCACAGACGCGTTATTCATAATCGCCAAAAACTAGAATCAGTTTTGTGATTATGTTGCGGTAAATCACGTGTGGACCATGGACCTAGCAGGAAAACTGAATGAACTACTGACAAATGGAACAATGTGGATGAACCATCGCAGCATTAGCTAAGTGGAAGAAACTACACAAGACGAACATAGTGTATGAGGCCAATATATGAAATTCTATAGTGACAGAAAGCCTGTCAGCTAATGATAACTAGGGTTAGAGGGAGGTAATTATCTGCAAATGAGCAAGAGGGAATTTGGGGGGTCAAGGGGCTTTCTGCATCTTGATTGTGGTGGTAGTTGTGGCTGTACATTTTTCAAAAGTCATCAAATTGTAGAATTAAAGTGTATAAATTTTGTTTATGTAAATTACACCTGAACAAAGCTAAATTAAAACAAAAATCCTCTTTACATATGCAAACACAAACCCAGTTAAGTGGTTTGCTAATCAATTGCACTTGAAGCTTTTTTGTTTTAAAATCACCAACATAATATGTGAATGAATCTGAGCTCCCTGGAAATAGGTTTTGGTATAGTAATACTGCAGAATTCAAAGGAAAAGCTCTTTCTGCCTGGAATTACTAGCAGGACAGAGTTTTTGAGTGGTTTTATGATTATGTTGTGATACAGTGTTGACATGATGACGTCAGAAGATTGGAATTTAGAATTAGAACTGGGAAGGGTGACCTAAGGAGAATGAAACTGAGCTGGAGAATTCTGAAAGGAGGACAAACTGTTAGGGCCTCCCCTGGACTACAGGAAAGAAGCTTGCCTTGGTAAGGTGAGCTTTGTGGGGATATGCCTTAAGTTCTAGAATAAGCAATAAGGAATTAACCAGTGGGTCTGTGACTTTCCAACTGAAATGAAGTTGAGAAACCACTGTGAAAAGGCAATAAAAATTTTAGGTTCTTGAATGGGACTTGGGGTGAACTGGTAACATCAGATTAAGACCATCGATATTTACACAGCACATAGAATAGTGCCTGGAATATGATTATTGCTGTATGTGTGTTTAAGTAAAATACATCTCTTTTTATTCTCAGAGGTATTTAATAATAGAATAAGAGGGAGTAGCATTCATACATGAGTTAAGAAGATAAGGGAAATTAGCATTTATATGGGTCAGATATATTATATGAACCAGATACTGTGCTTTGTGCCTTCAGATTACTTGATTTAATCTTAACAACAAGGATATAGATATTATCTTCATCTTACAGCTATGGAAACTTAGGCTCAGAAAGAGGGTTGGCTTCTAATTAATTCAGGTACCACAAACACAGAAGAGGCAGTGTTCCTCAGAGGTGGGTGAGGGACCACTTGAGTTAAGATAACCAGGGATGCGTGTCCACAAACCACACCCAGACCTAATGAATTCCATTGGGAGTTTGGGGGAGGGGGAGAGGAATCTATTTCTAACCTCCTCACTAGTTGATTGGTAATTTCAAAAAAGGTTTGAGAACCTCTGTCTTAAGACTTAGAAGATGTTTTTACTATGTGGTGATTTCTAGTATTTAGAGTTCTTAGAAACAGAAGTTAGCCTCATAGAGGTGATCTGTAGCTTTGTCTTTGTCTATTAAAATAGTGTTGTATCTTTACAGTGTTCATAACATAGCTATAGTTCTCGTATTTCATAAATAAGAGTTAAAAAATAAACAAGCCAGCATTCTTTGTTAGTCCTCACTAGAATTTATCTTGTTGACTGCCCAAAGTGGTCTCTACCTGGTGGCAGGTAGCAGTCTTTTTTTTACCATTTCCCTCAGTGCTGGCTTAAGCTACCTGAGATGTGTTACTTTGTGTTTATCCTTTTTATACAGTAAGGGATAAGTAAAGGTGTGTTTTTATTATATACATGACTGAATTATAGTGGATAACAAATAGAACAGAGAACAGTTTTTGTATTCATGCATAGTGGGTTTTTATGAGATAATTCTATACTCCTAAACTCTTCTTCTGTCTCTTTAACAAGCATATTAGCCAACAATAATTCTTGGTAATATTTATCTGCCTACTTATTTAAATTTCAACACTTACTCTTATATGATTATATCTGTTTTCAACAGTGATTCTTTTATTGCACAACGAGAAAGTATGCGACAGATGATGAGAAGTTTTTCTGAGCCTTTTGGAAGAGACTTGCTCAGCATCTCTGATGGTAGAGGAAGAGCTCTTAATCACATGGGACGTGATGACGGTGAAGATTCCTTGACTGTAAGTTCTTTATTTTAAAGTTAGTGAGAAGGTCCCGTGGGAATTGAAGCAAAGTCTCACAAAGAAATGTGTCTATGATGAAAGGATATAACCAATACTTACATTATAGAGATAACTAGTATATACAAGGTAGGGATCTTTTGAAAAGCTGAATCCTTTAACAGTGAATTGTTAGCTGTATAGAATTCCACTGTGCTCCCAAAACCTTAGGTCCATAGGGTTATATATTATAAGCCAAACTTCAAGTATTATTTTTCATATGTATATATGGTTTGTTCACCTTAGAATTTCCTCCCATGTCTTAAATTAGAACAAGCATAAATTAAATTGTGCCTTAAATTAGAACATTCCCCCACTGCAAAATAGTAGCCGAAGCTATCGTGTAATGCTTTATCTCTGTCGGACCCTGAGAAACCAGCCTCCTGCACTGCTACCTTGGACCTTCAACACTTAGGTAAGCTTCTAACTGTATTCAAAACCAATGCATAACTGCAATATATTCTCATAAGTCTTGTCTAAGAGCAAAACTAGAAGGTCACAAACACACTCAACTCAAAAAAAAAAACTGCAGGGTCTTTATATATCTTAACTATTTTCTTTTATTTTAGTTCTGTGTTTTTCAGCATCAGGAATGGCAGTTCTAGAATAACAGATCCACAGGAATTTCTATATAGATGAATCTCTGCAATTAAAATGTAGATATTTGGAACTCAGTAAACATTGATTTGGGCAATTGGGAAACTTCCAGAAAAATATTTTTATATTTTCTGTTTGCAATAATCTTAAATAGAACAAAATATTTCAAATATTCCTAAGAAGTTTGATAGATAAAATTATATTTGCCATTTAAATGAAAGTAATCTTTATATTCTTTTTCACATATATATTATTCCAATATATATATTATTCACATTCCAATTAGTTTTCTTTTAATTAGTGAATAGTCATATCATAATATATATTTTTTACTTCTAGGGCTATCACTTTCCGTAAAGTCTAAAATTAAGATCAGAGAAAAAACATTATTAAAGAGGACAGAAAAATCAGATATGACATTCTGAAATTTTATCTTTCACATGAGCATTGAAGTATTTTGTATATCTGTATAATCATAGCAAGGAAAGAGTTGGACTATATGTAGTGCTTTGTATTTATGTGCATAAATGAGCTACTTGTAGCTTTTGTGGAAGAAACAAGAAGTGACGCTTTTATTTCCTCGTGAGCATAGATCTGTGTATAATTAGCTGTAAAGTTCTCATTGAGGATGCCTATACACATCAACTGTGACTCCACTGGTCATCCATTGGAAGTAGAAGTAAATGGTTCTTTCCTGGGCACTCGTGCTTTAGACATCTGGATGTTTAATGCGCTGGAATAAGAAATATATAACCGAATAAAGAGAGAACTTTCTGTGAAACTGTAGTTTGTAAAATTCGTAATTTATAACCGTTTGCATTTTAGCTCACCTTACATTATATTTGCCTCGCCAATGTGGCTTGAAATCAAGTTTTGGGGAATGAAAAAAAAACCTTCAGCTGAAGTAATATGGTTGCGCAGAAGTCATGATTGAATAAGGAAAGTCAAGTAGGAAAACAGTTCTGAATACAGTGGAAGGCCAAAACCATCATTTGAATGAAAAACTAAAATAGATGTTACCTTGTACAGTGTATGGTGGCATAAATTAACTTTTATCTAAAATTATGAATCATTAGTATAGGCTAAAGTCTGTAGCTAGCATTATCCAATAGTGCTTTCTGGGTTCTAGAACCTTTCTGATGGGAATGTTCTAAATCTGTCCTGTCCCGTAAGCTAGCCACTAGCCACATTTGACTGTTGAGAACTTGGAATGCGCCTACTGCTACTGAGGAACTGAATTTTTAATTTACCTTTAATTATTTCAAATCTAATTTTAAATAGCCATGTGTGACTAGTGGGTACCTCAATGGAGGGCATGACGATAGACATTCACATAGGCCCCAAAGCATTTAGCGTTTTTTAACCAGTACTGAGTAAAGAGCACTGTATGTGAACTTATCATCTTGTTTCTCATTTAAAAATCATCTCTTTAGGGGACTGGCCCTGTGGCCAAGTGGTTAAGTGCATGCGCTCCGCTGCAGGCGGCCCAGTGTTTCGTTGGTTCGAATCCTGGGTGTGGACATGGCACTGCTCATCAGACCACACTGAGGCGGCGTCCCACATGCCACAACTAGAAGGACCTGCAACGAAGAATATACAATTATGTACTGGGGGGCTTTGGGGAGAAAAAGGAAAAAAAATAAAATCTTTAAAAATCATTGCTTTAAACATTTTCCCAAGAAAAACTGCAGTACTTATCTACCTATTAAGTAAAAATAAATGATAATTTTTGCTATATCAGATTTAGATCAACCCATTTCATAAAACCTTGAAGTTTTATAGCTCTTTGGATAGTAAATACTGCTGGTAGTGTTTACTTGCCTCTCATCTAAAATCACTTAGTATACATTTTTCTTTAATTACATCATATTGTAGCAACTATCTTAGAAAGCTCACACCAGTGCATTTTTTTCTTGTTCAAACTATGAAAATCCTTTGCCAATAAATTCAATTCAATTCAAATTAAGATATAGAAATTTCATCCAGTTATAGCAGGTTTTCAAAGGAACATGCAGCCTCTCTCTTAAGCAAAACTCACCTTTTTTCTGTACATTTGTAATTTATACTGGTGAGATGTGGCTCTCCTTTTTTTCCCTAGGATGTGATACCTTTGACATGTTTATGTCTGAGCATGAAAGACCTATGTAATAGCAAACAATAATTAATTAAGAGAAAACAAAAACAAACAGCAATAGCAACAGAAGACGTCTATCCCAACCTGACTTTTCTAAGTCAGTGGTTTATAACTAGATGTGAAGGTAGGAATGAAAATTAGAAACTGACTGCAGAAGATGGAAAAGACCACTGCTACGTCTGAAAAAAGCATAGCCAAGAAAACAGTAGGCTTTTTGAGCTTGCTGGCTGTCCTAGTCTATTTGAACTTTTAATAAAAATTTATACAGAGCTTTTCTTTCTTTTTATGAAGTAATACGTTTTAAGATAAGTGTTGTGATTAAGCAGTGAGCCATTATGCTGATGGTTTTAAGCACAGTGGATAAAAATCTGTCTTTCAAGGGGCCAGCCTGGTGGTGCAGTGATTAAATTCATACATTCGCTTCAGCGGCCTGGGGTTCAGCACCGGATCCCGGGTGCGGACCTACACACCATTTGTCAGGCCATGGCTGAGGCAGGCGTCCCACACATAAAGTAGAGGAAGATGGGCACGGATGTTAGCTCAGGGCTAATCTTCCTCCAAAAAAAAATCTGTTTTTCAAATTGACACCTTAATAATTTTTTGCTTTATTTTTGGCTCATCCTTGACATTTGTCATCTTTATCAGCCATAGTATGAGGGAAAACAGACTGCTACTACACGTAGGAGAAGCATCAGCTATGCTCTTTTCTTGTGTTTATACTAGTAGCATTTTCTTCAGCTTGTGATTTCTTTGTGGGGATATTTTTAAGCCAGTTGTCCACTTTGGGAGGATTAGTTTTGTTTAAAACTATATAATTTAATCTGTAAATTTATTTAACTAGACAATTTATAATTCAAGATATGACGTGACCATCTGACATTCAGATTGAGTGATGGTGCTAGAGTCAGTCTAGAACCTGCCTTTCCTTTCAGTGAAAAGAAATAGAGAGAGGGCTTTTGCTGGTGCGGCCAGGACACTTTGGAGATTACTGTTCTACATACGCAGTATAACTGTGATACAATTTATTGATAAATTTAAACAAATAATTTAAGATTAATCAAATTTAAATAAAATAAAAATCTGATAAATTATATCTGATATAATTTATTATAAAATTTAGTATAAACAAAGTTTTCTCTATTTTTCAACAAAACTTATACTGGGAGAAAATTATCGATCACTGAATGATGGTAAAACTTTATATATACCTTTTACCCAGAAATTCAAAATTTATTTTCAACATTTGAAACTTCCAAGTAATGAAAGTTTTTAATTTTGCAAATATGTGTCTAAAAATTTTTTTATTCATCTGCACCTATTGAGGAATACTATTTGTGAAGTGTTAATTTTGATTATTCCAGTATACGTAACATTCTTTTGCCTATCAAAGACTCTATTTCTAAATCTCTGTGTGTGATCCTTTCTGAAGTCTCTGTTTCTTATTCCATAAATTAGTTTGCAGGAGGTTTTCATTACATTTTTTTTGCCCAATATCTCTGCTAATCTTTTGAAATGTTATTAATGTAGATAATTTTTACTTTTAATTGCTTATAGGCAAGATTAACTGATTTATTAAAAATTTATTAAAAGATTAACTGATTTATTATATAAAATATATATTCTATACTTTTTAAAAATATAGAATAGTTGAGCAAAAGAAATGATATAATCTTAATCATTGTACCTTATGTTTTAATTAATTTTGGTGTGAATTTGCATTTCCTCTGAGAAATGTTTGTCTTAATCCATAGCAAATACTTTTTCTTTCAGCTGCCTTTAATAAATACTACAGTAGTCATATTTAAAATTGACGTATGACCTCCCTGTTTGCCTGCCAGGCTTCTGTCAGACTCTACAATGAATTATAAGCAGATAATTTTAAAAATGTATATTGAGTTCTTTTGGATTAGAAGGTTCTGTAATTTTGTTAGCTCTGAACTATGTGATTATGCAGTGCATTTCTCTCTTTTTCAGGGATTATCATTAAATGTCATAACCAAAGTTAATTGTATTTTTTTTTTCCTAGGCAATGAGTTCTCTTGTGCCTTTTGGCAGTTTTGGTGGTATGGTTCGTATCATGAGACACAAACCATTTTAGCAGTATTTTCTGACGAATATTTCTTTTTCATTAACTCATGCAAACTGAATTGGCATGCAGTCTCACGTCCATAATGGCTTTTTAGTATTTGTACTGAAAACCAGTTTTATGTATGAAATTTATCTTAGAGGATTTAGGCATGTGTTTTTTGCAGTAAGTCATATCAACATATATAAAATCAGTCTTCAAAAAGAAAGTACAGTGTAATAGATGAACATTCGATTTACAAAAAGGATCCCCATAGTTGTGTTGAAAGGGGAGACTTCCACGTATTTATGATGACCTTCCCCAAGGCGTCATAGCACCGACCTGCGGGCAGACATGCGCGTGCGGAAAAGCTCAGCTTGGCTGCTTTCCCTGGGACTCTGTGGCCAGTTTGTTCCGTTACTTTTCCTTTCCCATGTCCGGGTACAGCTGTTCTGCAACCATCTTTTCTCCCACCTATTTCTTGGGCTTTAGTCCTGTTTTCTGTGATGCTAGTTTCTAATACACTTAAAAGCCATCTGAGGAGTAGCAGAGAATAGTGTGACTTTGGAACATTTCCTGTGGATGCATCTACACTCTCATGAAAAAGTTTCTTTTTATTCTCTTGTCCTAGACTTCAACCATTTGTCTCCCTGAAGTTTGACATATAACATTTGTCCTTCCCGACCAGAGTTTTTAGAGGGATGAATGACGAAGAAAGAAAGCAGTTATAGCACAGAGTTATCATTAAAATGCCCGGGAAGTTCAGCATGCTGTGGGAGCACAGATAGAAAAAAGCATGTAACCTAGACCTTTGGAGGCGTGGGTTGGAGGTCAACCAGAGAAAACTTCCTGAACCTTGTGGATTAATAGGAATTAGCCAGGAAGTGCAGGGAGGGGAAAAGAAAAGTGCTCAACACAGAGGAAACAGCATGTGCAAAGACCTGGAGGCAAGGTGACTTGCCTAAAGATGTTGAGGATGACTTATCCTAGAGTATGAGTTGGAGAGTAGATACAGATGAGGATGGAGAGGTAACCAGGGACTTCTTTTGGCCCTGGTAAGGACTGTGGACATTATCTTAAGAGTAGGGGAAGCAGTTGATGAATTTTCATCAAAGTTACAATAGAATCAGATTCTCATTTTTGAAAGATCATTGTGCCCACAGGGGAGAGAGATTAGAAGGGAGCACAGTGGAGGCAGGGAGGCCAGGGGCTGTTAAAGCATTCTGGGAAGTATTAGTGATGGCCTTTACTTGGATAATGGTTGTGGAAATAAAGAGAAATCATTTCATTTGAGAGAGAGTTAAAGAGGTGAATGGATAGAACTTGGTGGTTGATTGTGCTGAAGGAGCAGTAGAGAGGGAGAAGGAAAGTATTATGCCGTATTTCTGGCAGGAGGAATTAGGTGGATGGGAATGCCACTGAGCTAAGGAATAGAGCATTGATGCAGTACAAATATGAGGGCAGGGATGGTCAAAAGGATCATTTCAGTTTTAGGTGTTTGCATTTGAGGTGTCTGTGTGCTTTCCAGGTGGATTTATCTGGTAAACAGTTGTATATATGAGTCTGAGCTGAGCTACAGATAATTTGTCCATTCATTCAGCAAATATTTATTGAGCCCTCCTATATGCCGGGAATTATTTTATATGTATTGGGAATAGAGTAGTGAATAAGACAGAGAGGATAACCCTGCTTTCAGGGGTTATTTTTATAGAGTGGGAAAACACAGCAAACAACAAAATAATTTCAGATAGTCAAAGTACACCGAAGGAGATGAAGCAGGGTAATGATATAGTGGCAGGTGGGAGATGAAGCAGAGATTAGTTTAGGCAGGTGGCCAGAAGAGGCCTTTCTAAGGAGGTGATAATTGAATGATGAGAAGAAACTGACTATGCTGAGAGTCAGGAGAAAACATTCTAGGCAGAGAGAAGAGCATGTGTACAAAGCTCCTGAAGGCCTTACGAGCCCACTGGAATCTCAGCTCTAATTTGTACCCCCACTGTTTGTCACTCCAAGGTGGTGGGCCGCCTCAGAGCAAGTACAGATACATCTTTTGATGGTGATTTGGTAGTGAGTGAGAAGAGGGCAGAGTATACCCAAACATCTGATCTCCTCCTCCTCCTCCCCCTCCTCCCCTCCCTCCTCCTCCCCCTCCTCCCCTCCCTCCTCCTCCCCCTCCTCTACTCCCTCCTCCTCCCCCTCCTCCCCTCCCTCCTCCTCCCCCTCCTCCCCTCCCTCCTCCTCCCCCTCCTCCCCTCCCTCCTCTTCCTCCTCCTCCCTCTCCCCCTCCTCCCCCTCCTCCCCTCCCCCTCCCTCCACACCCCTTCCTTGGGCTAGCCCTTCCATCTCATGAATTGTATCTCTTATACAGCCCTGATTCTCAACCTAGTGTTGAAACAAAACATTTAGAATATTTTCTAAATTGTGTTGAATTTCTAAAATGCAGATTAATTCTACTTCAGTCCTTTGTGTACCCAGAGACATATCAATATTTCCTAACTGTGCCTTTGTTGTTCCCTAATATGTTAAGTGCAGGTCCTAAATTTGGTTTTCCCATCTATTTCCCATCATTATCAGCACTAAAAACCCAGTAGAAGGCAGAAACACAAACAGGCCTTTGGTAATTCTTTATTGAGTCCCAGCTTGGCACACAGCAGAACCTTCAGAAGGGCTGAAATATGGACATTGAACCACAGTGCCTTTCAGGATTCAGGACTCCTCCTGCTGGAGTGAAGGAGTTCCTTGAACCAGACACTCCCTCTCTTTTATAGTAGTAGAGGATGCAGTGGTTGACACATTAGAATGTGTGCTTCACTTTTTATTTTCTGGTGAGTGTTCCAGTGATAAAACCTAAAATCAATAGCAGATTTTTCTAGAACAGGATTTCTCAGCCTCAACACTACTGACATTTTGGGTCAGACAATTCTCATTCTTGGGGGCTGTCCTATGCATTGTAGGATGTTTAGCAGCATCCCTGGCCTGTACTTACTAGATGCCAGTCATATAATCCTCTTCAGTTGTGACAAACAAAACTGAGTATAATTATTGCCAGATGTCCCTGGAGAGTCAAAATTGCTCTTGGTTGAGAAACCACTATTCTAGAGGAATCCTTAACTGTTCTTCTAAAGGAGCATACCTTGTGCTTCAAGGATATGCCTGACTGAGCCTTACGTGGTAGGCAGTAAATGGAAAGCCTAATAGTAGAGGGAAGTGACTTCTATCACTTGGACCGTACTGTGATGAAAAGGAGGGCTGGCACTCCAGAAGCAGCTTGTCAGCCATGTGGTGCTGGTAGAGATGACAGTGGCATCTTATACCCAAGTTTTATTTGTTTGCATAAAGGGGTATTGAAAGGGAAGTAGGAAAAATGTGTACTATTCTATGTCAGAGCTATCCCAGCCCAGAATGCACCTCTCAGTATTTAAATTTTAACCAAATTACGTTTTGAGAAAGATGAGAAATGACATATGTGTTTATATGTTCATGCATGTATGTATGTGTGTATATATACACATGTATTTATGCATGTTTTTATAGTGTTACTTTTATATGTTGACTGTTTGGGATTTTGTCTATGCTTCAATTTTTTCTTTAACCAATCGCTTTCATTGTATAAGTCCTTAAATTATCTTTGGCTGGTTGGTTACTGTATGAGATCCCACTGCACAAATTGGGAAGAAATTGTTTCCGATGTTTTTAGAAGGTTGATTTGCTTCTTTTGTGTTGTACTTATAGTTAATAACATACTTCTTAATATCCTGTAGCATACAGGTGTCAACCCTTTCCAGGCAATGGACCGAATGATGTTAAATATGAGAAACAGTATGCAAGAAGTACAAAGAAACTTTGTAAGTACTAAAAAAATGATGAGCAAAACATTGTTTTCAGTTATTGGTACCCTATAGTGACTTTCAAACATTTTTTTAACCACGATCCACCGTGGTTGAAAAATATATCTTAGATCATGACTCAGTACAAAATAACTGTGTACTTGATAAATATATCTGAAACAAAGCTACATGAGAAGATGATCATACTATTTACGATGTGTGCTGATATTTTCAGTACAAAATAGCTGTGCACTTGATAAAAATACCGGAGACAAAGTCACATGAGAAAGCACTCGTACTATTTACAATATGTGCTGATATTTTCTTTTTTATTTCATATTTTAAAAATCCTGGTCACAACCCACCAAATTGATTTCACAACATACAGGATAGCATTAATTAAGTTTGAAAAGTAGAAAAAAGTAAACCTCAAAAACATTTGTTGTGCTGAAGGTCACTATTATAAATGAACATTTTATTTGAATTTAGATATTTTTATTATTTATAACCTGTCTACTTAAAGGATTTGTAGCATCTAAAAAATTAAGTTTTAGTGTTTAAAAAAAAATACTCTGAAAACAGAAATTTCAAGAATGATGTTTAGGCACTGGAATAGATCCATACAGTCTAAATACCTATAAACTAGTACTAATAGTCTTACTTTCTACTCATAATAGTAACGTTATAATAACTTGATTTTCTATGAAGACCTATATCATTTTAGTCATCCAGTTTGGAATCTGAGGATCATTTCAGAGTGTCCCAATCTAGGGCATTATAAATGACTTTAGTAATGTAGCAATGAGGTACCCACAGGAGGTATAAAACTTCGTGGTATGTGGCTAATTGGTGCAGTGTTGACAAAATTGCACACAAGGGTCCACCACTGACTATAAAAGCATCACAGGTTTCAGGGCTCAGCATCTATATTTAAATCTAAGCCACAAGTCTTTTTTTTCTTTTTAAGATTTTATTATTTTTATTTTTTATTTTTCCTTCTTCTCCCCAAAGCCCCCCAGTACATAGTTGTGTATTTTAGTTGTAGATCCTTCTGGTTCTGCTGTGTGGGATGCGACCTCAGCATGGCCTGATGAGCAGTACCATGTCCGCGCCCAGGATCAGAACCAGCAAACCCCTAGCCGCCAAAGCCAAGAGCGTGAACTTAACCATTCCACCACAGGGCCGGCCCCCCTAAGCCACAAGTCTTTGATCCCAAAGACTTAAGGATCTCTAAGTGAATCCCTTGTTATTATTCCTCACAAGGAGAGTGGGAGTTGGTACCTAAAATGAAAGGAGGTTAGGACCTTCCTGCGGGTGCCATTTGGATACACCATACTGATAGTATAGTATCCTTAGTAGAACTTCTAGCCGATGTTGCTTATTTGAATCCTGTGACATTAATTCTTCATATTTGAGTAAATCCTCTAGATTTACAATATATATATATATATGTTTTTATCTCTAGGGTCACCTTTCCATGGATCCAAATGGACATTCATTTAGTTCTTCCTCAGTTATGACTTATTCCAAAGTGGGAGATGAACCAGCAAAGGTTTTCCAGGCCTCGACTCAAACTCGGAGGGCTCCAGGAGGAGTAAGTATCTTCTAAGCATTCTTGGAACTTTATAAAGTTAATTATTAAAATTTTATGTGGTACAGGGCGGCGGGGAGACGTCACTGAGAAAAGCATTAAAGCTAACCGTATTTACTTAGTTTGCGACATTTTTTGTCCTCCTCCCATTCTGCCTTTTTTATCTAAGTATCTATTGATATTGATTACCTCTACATGTTGACAAGGTAAGTAAACACTAAAAGAAGTCTTTGTTTCATGAAATAGATCTCTGCTTTTAATTTATGTTCGAAGTTGTCAACTTAAAAAGCAAATTCGCCTATTTTACCCTCAAAATCAATTTATTCAGAAATAGCCAAAAGAATTGCAATTTGGCATGGGCATACTATAGTGAACCATAGGCAAATCCAGAAAACAAAGGAGAGGACCTTGCTTTTATTGAGAAAAGGGGGGAATAGGGAGGAGCTGTTCTAAACAAAAGTCCATTGGGGGAAAGTAAAGTTCAGGACAGCAACTGGCTTCTCATTGGCTGAGCTGTGGCGTTTCTCATTGGCTGGGCTTCAGTGCTTCTCATTGGCTGAGCTGCACTGTTTCTCATTGGCTGGGCTGTGCTGGTCAAGAGAGGAGTCTTTCTTCAGTAGTAATGTAGTTGTACTTCCTGTGGGAGAAGCAAGCGCCTGTCTGTTCCTCTTTGGAGTGGTTGAGGTAGGCTGTGGGAGTGCCCCCTACAGGCATTCCTGACTTCAATTTAGTTAAGGCTGCTTCTATTAATTTCCCCTGAGTAAATGAATTTTAACTTATGAAATATTTGAAGTGTACAGAAAGGATCTAGAGAATGATACCTATATTCCTTCAACCCAGGTTAGTCAAATCATAACATTTTTCTCTATTTAAGTTGTCTCTTGTTTTGTTTTCTTTTTAAGCAGAAATGTTACAGATGCAGTTAGAGCGTCCAATGCCCTCTTCCGTGGTCCCTTCTCCCTTTCCAAAGAGAACCATTTTCTTATATCCAAAATGTATTATTTTCATGCATGTTTTTATAATTTTATTACTTATGTATGCAGCATGAACAATATAATGAATTATTGTACAGGTTCCTAAACTTATATAAATGGTTTCATGTTGCATATGTCCTCTGCAGCTTGACTTTGCCCAGTAATAGGCTTCTGAGATTTATTCAAGTTGATGTGTAGCTCTGGTTTCTTTATTTTAACTTCTATATAGTATCCAAAATCCAAAGTATGAATATACCACAGTTATTTATCTATTTTTCTATCGATAGATATTTAAGTGTTTCTTATTTTTCACTTCTTCATCTTTATAAATGTCTCTTTGTGCAAAGGGTCTAGAAAGGTATTGTTGAGTTGTAGGAGGTGTGTATCTTCATCTTTATCTAGAAATTACCAAGTTACTGTCACACAGTGATTGAAAAGGTTGGCTCCCACAAACTCTGGTATAAGAGTTCCCATTTCTCCACTTCCCTTTGAGTACTTATAGTAAAAAAAAAAAAATTAGATTTGCCTGTCTAATGTGTGTGAATAGTTCATTTTTTATTCTTACGTATAAAGATTCACCTTTTAGGGGGCCTGCCCTGTGGCTGACTGGTTAAGTTCAAGCACTCTGCTTCAGCGGCCCAGGGTTTGGAGGGTTCGGATCCTGGGCACGGACATGGCACCGCTCATCAGGCCATGCTGAGGCGGCATGCCACGTGCCACAACCAGAGGCACTCACAACTAGAATATACAGCTATGTACTGGGGGGATTTTGAGGAGAAGAAGAAGGGAAAAAAACAAAAGATGAAGATTAGCAACAGATGTTAGCTCAGGTGCCAATCTTTTAAAAAAAAAAAGATTCACCCTTTAATGCTGTTCTTACTGTAGTACAGCTAATTCCTCTCAGACGTTTTACCTTGCTGTAAGTGACATGCAGCTTAAATGTAAACCGTATAATTGGAGATGTCCCACAGCAAGTCGTGTTGATAGTCTTTGGCTATCATAAATATTCTAATGACCCCCAGAGTTGGTAGGTGGTAGCCATGAAATTCAAGCCATCAACATGACTTCTGGGTAATTAGTTGCCCTTACTTGTAAGAATGCTGGTAGCATGTACAGCCATCTATTACGTTATCAAGGACAACGTTGAAGGCACTAACAAGTTTTGTATAGTTAAGGTATTCTTTGTTGTAATATTTGATGACAATTTGGAAAAAGGTTAAATTGTATTGGTTCTATTTGTCCGTTTTAATTTTAAGCAGCTCAGGAAATATCAAAGAACTATGCCCACATTTTTACTGCAAGTTGGCAGTGGAACTCTGTATTCATTATTTTTAAAGCAATAGACTTATGGTCTTACCTCTATGGATAAACAGGCCCTGAGGATTTTAAAATTATGTCCATTCTATATATATATATAAATAACAGCTAATTTTTATTTTCTTTATTTTTACAGATAAAGGAAACTAGGAGAGCACTGAGAGATTCTGACAGTGGACTAGAAAAAATGGCCGTTGGTCATCATCTCCGTGACAGAGCTCACGTCATTAAAAAGTCAAAGAACAACAAGACTGGAGATGAAGAGGTCAATCAAGAATTTATCAATATGAATGAAAGTAAGTTGCTGCAGAAAATAGCAGTCTTCCTCTTAAAGTTAAAACAGCAGCTGTGCTAGTAGAGCTTGATGAATATTTTTTGTAGAAACATTTCATAAGGTGTCATTTTGAGGTAGTTTATGAATAATATATGGAGGGAATACCTTATCAAAGTAATAAAATTGAGGTTTATTGTTCCATAGTAGATCTGTTTTTTATAGTGACTTTTGGTAATATTGAATATAATTTACTTTTTGTTTCATACTTGGAAAATGGAATCTTTTGAATTGTTATTTAGTAAAATTACCAGCAGGCAAAATGAGTTTTTAAATATTTCTGTTTATCAAAGAAGTATATTTGAAAAGTATAAAGAAGAAAATTAAAAATGTCCATAATCCCAACCCCAAATAACTACTATTAATGTTTAAGTGTATTCCTTCCTAATAGTTTTATGTATATGTAAACACACTTTTTTTTTTCAAAATTAGTATTTTTTTTAAAGATTTTATTTTTTCCTTTTTCTCCCCAAAGCCCCCCGGTACATAGTTGTATATTCTTCATTGTGGGTCCTTCTAGTTGTGGCGTGTGGGACGCTGCCTCAGTGTGGTTTGATGAGCAGTGCCATGTCCGCGCCCAGGATTCGAACCAACGAAACACTGGGCCGCCTGCAGCGCAGCACGCGAACTTAACCACTCGGCCACGGGGCCAGCCCCTCAAAATTAGTATTTTACTATCTATATAATTTATATTGTGCTTATTTTAATTCACCATTATAATTGTGAACAGTCACCTATGATGTTATTTTTCAAAAACGTTCTAAATGGTACCTGAAAGTTTTATCATGAACAGGTCGTAATTTATTGAAGCCATTATGTATTGTTGGCACTTAGGCTTTTGCATGGATAAGATTTTAATTTCTGGTATTGTTAGATAATGGATCATGTATATATCAATGTAAATACTTCCATTTTCCAGATTTTGTATTTATTCTTCAATGCATTTAAGTCCTTCCACTGTCCTATCCTCTCATTATAATTTTTAAGTTATAGTCATCTCCTGTTTTCAGAAAGTATTTTGAATAAAAATGTTTTGTATCATTTTAGAAAAAGAAATTCTCTTAAGGTTGGAATTTGATAAAATTATTCTTATGTGGGGTCCAGCCCTGTAGCTGAGTGGTTAAGTTCAGGTGCTCTGCTTCGGCGGCCCAGGGTTTCACTGGTTCGGATCCTGGGTGTGGACATGGCACTGCTCATCAGGCCATGCTGAGGCAGCATCCCACGTGCCACAAGTAGAAGAACCCACAGCTAGAATATATAACTGTGTACTGGGGGGATTTGGGGAGAAAAAGAAAAAAAAGGAAAGAAGATTGGCAATAGTTGTTAGCTCAGGTGCCAATCTTTAAAAAAAAAATTATTCTTGTACAATAAGATGGAAGCCACAATAACTTAACTTTTCTTTAATTTTAACCTTTGTAATTTTGTCGTATTTAAATATATACCTAGTACTTCACAATAGTTAACATGTTGAAGAAAAATTTAGTGAAGCAACATTATTATAAAGGCAATCTGAAAGAAAACGTACTGTCATTTGCCAGTTGTTGTTGTTATGGAAGTTAGATACTCCCTAACAACACAGATTGACAATCGAGATAAGTAACCTATCTCAGGAAATGGACAACAGATGCTTCTGAGGCCAAATTATGAGGGAAAACGGTGAGCCTGATAGGAAGTGCTGGTCATAGGAGGAGGGCCCAGGTGCAGAGGAAAGCATGATAACTATGAGATGACCCAGGAAGAAAGACTGTGTCTTAGTGTAATTGGGTCCAGGGGTCCATTGGGTAGAATAATATGATATCCAGGCAGGTGCGTGAAAAACCGGATCATCAATAACCAAATTAACAATAGGAATAGGAGAGGAACAAACAGAAAAGTAAGTACTACCCTGAGTCAAAGCCTTTATATATGAAGCAGTTTCCTGCCTCTATCTTTAGGTTAGGCTGATGGAAACACAGGCTAGAAGGAAATGTGTAGGGAGAGAGGCAGTTACTGACAGTTGATACTGTAGTACTTACCCCTTTACTTTGATATTTAATGTAGGTGATGCTCACGCATTTGATGATGAGTGGCAAAATGAGATTTTGAAGTACAAACCAGGGGGACAATGGCGCAATCTAGAAAACACTAGGATGCGCAGTGTTGGTCATGAGAATTCAAGATCCCGAGAGCTTAAAAGAAGGTAAAGTCATTTTTAAAATAATCTGTGTTTTTTTAAAGAAGAACTAGAAGAAAAGTTAGTAATTTTACCTCTGTTGTCAGGAAGTTTTGGTTAACATCTAAGTTGTTTGTAGCAACAATATCTTTTGTGAAAGATGTAATAATTTTACATTATATCTGAGTATTCCACACAAATTTAAATTTGTATCTGAAAACCAATAATATTTTAGGGCTGTATGATTAGTAACTCACTAGCAAATTATGCTTTACAAGATAGGGGCTAAAATCCTCCTAAGGAAAAGTAATGTGCTATAATGTAGTTATTCTTGTGAAACAGATTTTAATCGGGATAGAGTGGGAGTCATACATGGTAAAGATGTTATTTTCCAGAGATATGATAAGGAGAAAGAGGCTGTATTTGAAAGGCATTAACAAAACTTCCCTAGCGAGTCAAAATTTAGCATTTAATGGTAAATGCATTTTTAGGGACTTGTATCATATGTAACATCTGTATTAGATATTAGATATTTTGGAAGAGTTTTGCAAAAACTTTAGCCTCCTTTGGAATTACCTTTTGGAATAGCTGTGAAATATAAATGTGCTGAAATCACATCTTAAAGATTACAGAGATTTTTATATATTTAGTATATATTGTAGAGTTACAATTTAATTTGGTTCTCTAAGGAAAAAATTGAAAAAATGGCTAACTCCTAATTACACGAGAGAGAGAAATGGGGTCGGCGGGGGGGGCGGTGCGTGGTAATGGAGATTGGCCTCAGCAGGCCCTGAAACAGAAATGTGCTCTGGGCTGCAAAGAGTGGCGGGCTGCTGCAGAAGGCGCGAGGCTTCACAGCGCCAGCGGAGGGCAAGTGGTGTCAAGCCAATCAACCCTTGTGCAGAATTTCATGTTAGTGTCTTTTATTTTTAAAAATACTTGTTTAGGAATTTAGAGCCCAAATATTTTCTGTAGAAAACTTGCTTCCGTATTAATTTTAGATATTTGTCTCACTTTGAAAAGTTTATTGATAAAAATCTAACAGTGCTAAGTTTGACTATGAAATCCAGCTCCCAATTAGAGAAAACATGCTCTTTATAGATGATCCATAAATCTGGGGCTGTATCAATGGCATTTTCTGTAAACTAGCACCATCCAGCAGAACTTTCTGAAACGATTTTGTGCGAAGATGAAAATGTTGTGTATCTGTACTGTTCAATCTGGTAGCCACTAGCCACGCTGGCTGTTGAATCACGCTTGAAATGTGGCCGATGCAACCGAGGAACTGAATTTAACACTTTTTGTTTCACTTTAATTAATTTAAATGTAAGTGATGGCTGGCTAGCAGCACCATGTTGGACAGTGAGGTTAAACTGAAGGAGCTCACTGTGCCTCGGGAAGGCAGCTGTTGCTCTCTTAAAGGTTGAGAGAAGTCGTCTGCCATATGCTTTTCAAAGCTGTTAAGGAAATTTGAAGATAAAACTCTCCTTAAGTTATATTCATTTTTAACAAGTGTGTATTAATTTAGAAACCATTGACCATTTTAAAAATGGTATTAACGTTCATGTGTATATTTCTCAGGGAGAAACCTCATCAAAGTCCAGCCATTGAACATGGAAGAGGATCCACTGTCTTTGTGGACAAGCTTAACATCAAAGGCTCACCTGTGAAAATCAACAAAAAATAAATAGCTGTGCATGTCATTCTAGTTTTGGTTGTTTTAAGAGAGAAAGTGATGGTGCTGGGTAATACACAGAAGACCAATCTCTTGTTGTTAAATCAGTACTGTACTTAGCAGCTTTCTTCTGATTATCTGAATGTTCTTGCAAGTGTAGCTTTATACTGTTCCTACTTTAGGAATAAAACTGATTTTCAACAATGCAAATAAGTTGTTATTCTGTAAAACTCTTTGCTTTGAAACATACTAATTTTTAAAGCACGCGTGCTGATTTTGCTTTCCACGTTATTTTCCTCTCGGCTGTGTGTCTTTTAGATATTCAAGATTGAATGCAGAGCTAGTTCTGTTATATATAATTAGTTATACGAAAGTAAAATGTTAAAAAAGTCTCTTTTCACTAACAGTATACTAGAGTGATGTGAGTAAAGATTAAAATTATTTCCCTCAAATTCTTTAAGGTGTTTTGTAGCCAGCTAGCTTAAAGATTTTTTTTTAAAATAAAGCAAAATTATACTAGTGCTGTTTTGTGAGAAATTAGTTATTATTTTGACAAAGAACATAAAGAATCATCAAATAGTTCATTTTGAAAGAAACAGATTTTAAATTGCTGCTATATGTGTTTTCTTCTTATAATTTCTTTGCACAGCATATTCTTTTTTGTTCTATATTGCGTTCTTGACATTCATCAGACTTTATGCTGACCTTTCCTTTAACTTTAAGGTAACATATTTCTGCTCTCCTTTCCCACAAACAGCTTAATCTATCTCGACGGAAACATTCTAAAGTTAGAGTGTCCTGGGAGAAACTCTGCTCAGCTTTTTTGTGACATTTAGAAAAATGCATTTGATATTCTGCAAACCTGAATGATTGGTTATCTGAAAATGTCTTAGACAGATGATGTGTGTGTTTGAACAAGATAGTTAATTCAGTTGTTCCCTTTTTCATTATACCATATATAAAAATCAGGTCTAGCTTGTTTATTCCAGACTTCGTGGTAATCTGTTTTTATAAAAGTTAGTTTGAAGTTTATGAGAATATAAAATCTTAACTCTTAAGTCTTTGTTGTTTGAGAAAGTGTTTCTGAGCCAGCCCTGATGGCCTAGTGGTTAAAGTTTGGCGCATTTGGCTATAGCAGCCCAGGTTCAGTTCCTGGGCACGGAACCACAACACTTGTCTGTCAGTAGCCATGCTGTGGCAGCAGCTCACGTAGAGGGCCTTAGAAGGACCTACAACTGGGATATACAACTATGGACAGGGGCTTTGGGGAGGAAAAGAAGAAAAAGGGAGATTGGCAGCAGATGTTGGTGCATCTTTCCCAGCAAAAAAAACCAACAAGAAACAAGAAAATGTTTCTATCAAGGAGAAAAAGAACAGAAAATCTGCTATCACTCTCTCATGCTACTGTCATCCTTTTGTAACTTTGGAAGTAGAACTATGTGATTGTGCTCATACTCTTCTAATTTTCTGTATCATCTCCTGTTAATTTTATTAGTGTTTCATGCCTTTAATTTGCCACTAAAATAAGATGTGTATGTGTCGATTCATTTTTATAATGGAAAGTAATTGAGCGTGTATTACTTAAAGATGTTAAAATTTTCCCCTTATGCATATTTTAGCATACTAAATACTATAACATATTGGGAAGCTGTCATAAGGCATACATTTTAAATAACACTTTTGCATAAATTCTCTTGATAGAGCAAATCTCAATAGACACTGTGATGATTCCCCTTTTCCCTAAATCATTAGGCTGATGGTATCTTGAATCATTATATTCAAATATGAAAACACACTTTAATAAATAATTGTACTTAGAACAATATAACATCTATACATCATATAGCAGAGAATTCATAGAAACTTTTTTCCTCCCAGTTTGTTTACCATAGAAATCAAATAAAAAGTGAATTAAGCATGTATTTCTTCTTATGCCACAGTGCTCCCTAGGTGCCACTTATAAAATAGGTGACATATAGAGATTCAATGTCAATTCTTTATGTCTACATGATGCTGAAAGTGACTTCAGAATTTATTTTTACCGTAATGCTAAAGTCAACCAATATAAAAAAGAAAGCTCTCTGTAGCTTGTAGTTCACATACTTTTTCTTTATGGATGACTGTTGTTGTTTCTGGAACCCGGGGTCTTTTGGGAATGCAAGGATATTAACAATTTGGTGAATGTGACCTTGATAATAAGGCCAAGTTGCATACTTGGGCTCCTTGCCACTTTAGTGATTTTCCCGGTACCTGGCAGTATCAGAGGTTTTCATTACTGTACCTTCATGGCTCCATTATCCTTTACTGTCACAGGGCAGTTGCAGGAGCACCTTGGAATCAGATGTGCCCTGCATGTCACAAAGTGATGGTGTTAGAGGTGGGGCCTTTGGGATGTGATTAGGTCAGCAAGGTGAAGCCCTCATAAATAGGATTAGTGCCTTTATAAAAGAGACCCCAGAGGACTCCCTTGCCCTTTCTGCCATGTGGAGACACAGTGAGAAGTTGGCTGCCTATGAACCAGGGAGCGGGCCCTCATCAGACACCGAATCTTCCCGGCACCTTGATCTTCAACTTCCCAGCCTCCAGAACTATGTGAAATAAATTTCCACTGTTTATAAGCTAGCTGATCTGTGGTATTTTTGTTGCAGCAGCCTGAATGGACTAAGACAGTGGTCTTAGGCTGACGGAGCTAGGACAATTTGGAGTCTGCTGAGGTTTGACCTACACCCTCGCTGCAGTGAATTAGGACCTTCCGTTTGGCAGTAATGTACATATCTGAGGCCTCTTGAGGCCCCCTGTCCCTGATTACATGGATTTTGCAGTGCATCCGCATTCTGATGATCTCTTTGACCCCGATGTCATGCTTATTGTCTCCTGGGGTTTGGGGAATCTGATCAGACTTCGGAGTCCTCTGGTGAATTTGGCTTTAAGTCCCATCTCCTATCTTGTGCCTGCCCGCCCACCATCTTCTATTGTCGGTGAAAACTTTCCTCAGTCTTTGTGTATGAGAAGTCGGCTTGGGGAGAGACCTTCTGTCCACCCACGTTGCCTTCTAACCCCACGTTTCTCAGGTTAGCAGTCAGGCGGTCTAACGTTAGGGTTAAAGCCCGAGGCAGACATGGAGTGGTTTGCGTTTGATAGAGCATCAGGCGGCTTTCCATGGGGCTGTCAGCGGACGGACTTGTGCTACCTGCTGGCGCAGCTGCAGCCCGGAATCGTAGTGGCCGCTCTGGGGAACTTTGAAATGAACAGGACTTTCACTGGAGAGGCGCCTTAGAAGAACACACCAACAGAAAAACAGCAGACAAACCCTCAAGAGGAGAGCCTCTGTGTCCTTCGTCTAAAAGAGACCACTTTGTTTAGGTAGACCACTCACCTTTCATGTCATTCTTAAGGGCTTTTTCACTGTGTGGCTAACATTTCAACTTTCTCTTCTCCGTGAAGAGGAAGGCAATCAGCCTTTTCCAGGGGTACTTTCACGGTAGTAGTATCAAACTCAGTAACCGAGGAGGCCCATCAGACAGGGGCTTTAATGCCTTAGCAGCCTCTGTAGGCAAACCAAAGCCTAGGCCTGTAGCGCCCCGGGGCTGAGAGCTGCGACCGCAAACCCTCGGGCCCCAGCCACCCACCAGGCTTCCCAAAGAGGGCGCCCGCGGAAGCCGCAGCCCGCCGAGTGATCGCCTTGCTTGGCCTCTGCCTCTTCTCTACAAAGTCTTCCCCTGGCTCCCGCTGGTGGGCTGTTCCTGACCACTTCCCATTTGCTGCTGCCAGATTTCAACCCATTTTTGCTCAAAGTCAAAATTTTTAATATGCCTCAATTTATCTTTTAATGGTATAAAGCTGGCTCTAGCTCACCTTTTTTCCTATTTCTCTTTTTCCTCTCACTTGAAAATTTTTAAAGATGAATTCAGAAAAAAATAATTTTGTCATATGTGCAATCTAGGACTATCTGGTGCAAATGAATATCCAAAATGGCTAAGAGAAAAAAGCCAATAAACTATTTGTGCTGCTTTTGCATAAAATGTGGACGAGCGAATTTAAATAATAGCCTTTGCTATTATGGTTATAAGCAGAAAGGTTTTAAGATAAAAGAGGAGCTTTTAAATATGATTTAATGATTATGAATATAAGGTTTATAAAGTATTTTTAAAAAAGGTTTATGAAATATTTCCGGTAAGTGGATGAATTTGGGCAAACGAATGAATATTTCTTTAAATCAACTATATGTCTTCTCCAGGTTTTATTATTTAAAATTAATGCTAATAAAATATTCTAGCTTATATAAAACTAAGGTTGAACTCATGATTTAAATTTTCTAACTTTCCTATATTCATCTTATAGGTCAAATAAGTTATCACTGACTCACCAATTATGTAAGGTTACAAAATATAAAATGGTGTTTAAATAAAGCTGTAATACAGATATCCTTTAAAGGGGTTTTGACCTTATGAAATTGTAATTCTATTAATTATAAGGACCAAATGTGTTAGCTAAAATTGTAATTATTCAAATCCTCAGGTAACTTCTCAAGACCTTAGAAAATGTGCAATTAGCCCTTGGATACTTGCATAATTTATAAGTGAAAAATGGTACAAAGCTTTGGTCACTAAAGATAGTTTCAATGTATCTTTATTCTTATACATATACAAGTGACTGGATTAAAAGAATATGCAAATGTTTTGGATGATACCATATATGTGTATTTTGCCATTGTAAAACTTAACAGAGGTACCATATAATGTGTACACATAAGAATTTAGCTAGAGACTTCTTGTTTTTTTCTTTTAGTTTCCTCTGTGGAGAAAATAGTTGATCCCTTTGGTTAAAAGTGATTAATAAAAATAAGATATACTTTGTATAATAATTACGGAAAAATATGAAAATATACACACATAGAAGATAATGAGTATGAATTTTTCCTCAAGGAAACTGTTAAAGTGGTAATTTCAGTGTAACAGATGTACTGTTTTATATGTACTATTAAATTATATCTTAAAATTTTATTACCATTTACATAATTATGTGTTTATATATTTTAAACAAATACATATAAAGGCTTCTAAGACAATCTTCGAAAGTCTATAAATGAAAAAGTTTATTTAATGGTATATTCAGTGTTAACGGATTTATTCATCAAAGCAGCTTAATCTTTTTTTGTAAATTAATATATGGATGATATACAAAAAGTAAATTCGAAATTCATTACTGAGTCTCTGGTTTTACTTGTCCCTTGTAATTTCCTCTGATTTCTATTTATTCGATCTCGTTCATTCCACAAATATCATTGAGCACCTAGCCCACGCAGGGCGACACAGCGATCCACAGCCCAGTCACTGTTCTCACGGCATTGACCTCACTGGGAAAGGAGACAGCGCTCAGGTGTGTGAGACGTCTGGTCTGAGAAGCGCTCTGCAGAGCGAAGCCGCACGAGAAGAGCGACGGGGAGGAGCTCGCGGGAGCGGAAGAGCCGGGCCTGGAGCACCCCGTTGAGCGGCCGCCTGCACGGAGGGAAAGCGCGGGCAGGAGCGGCCGGGCGGGGCAGGGGGCAGGGGGCAGGGGGCCGGGGCGGGAGAGGCGGGCTGGCGCGCGGCCCCGACCCCCGGCGAGGGGTTAAGGCACGCGCTGCCAGGAGACGGCGCGCTCACAGCGACTGAGTGCGGCACCGGCTGCGGTTTATGAGATGAAGACGACTGCAGAAGACGGTGCTGGGAGGGAGATCAGACGCTCCGTTTCGGACATAGTTCGCGATGCCTCCAAGTGGAATCGTCAAGGAGGCTGTCTTCCATATGAACTGGCCCTAAAACGCCTAACACCGAAGAACGACGGAACGTTCGAGATGAGAAAAAGCACTTGTAATTGATAGTTCAGTCATCATTTTTCCACATTCTTTTCAGGTCGTGTCCTGTAGATAAGTATTTTTTCATATCTGTGATGGTAGCATAGATGACAACTGCTCTTTTTGTCACTTAAATTCTGTTAAAAAACGTTTCTCCAGGTTGCTACAGTTGGCACCACATCCCAAAAGGCTGCAGCGCTCTGGGAGCGTGCAAGGCTGGATGAGCTCGGTGAAGCGACTGCAGCTCCTCTTCCTCGTCGGCAGAGGGCGCCCGGGCAGCGGAGGGCGCTGCTCGGCCCTCAGATCCGGGAGCTCCTCCCTCTTTCCCTTCGTCCCTCCGCGCTCGCGTCCTTCGCCCCGGAAGTGCTCTTCAGGCGCTGCTGGCCGGCGTGACTTTGAAGGTCTCCCGCCGCGGTGCCGGTTGCTGAGCATCCCGGAGCCGCGGGCCCTGCGCGCCCGTTCTGCGCCGGCCATGAGGCTGCTGGGGACGGCCGCGGCCCTGGGGCGCGGGCTCCCGCGGGTCCCCGCCGCGCTGGGCTGGCAGGGGAGGCAGGTAGAGTGCCCGGGGAGCGGGGCCGAGCCCGGACTGTCCCCTGGCCGCGTGGCCCTCGGAGCGGCCCGGGCCCCTCTCCCTGTCCGTGCCGGCCGCGGGGCGCGCCCGGGGGCTGGCGTCGGGTGGCGGTGGCCCGCTGTGCCCGGGCCTGGCGCGCGCGGCTCGCAGGCTTCCCTGGGTTTACTCTGGAGGCGCCCGGCGCCAGGGTTCCCATTAGTTTTACCCGCCGCTTCCAAGTTGTGCTTCCCTCTGCCCACAAGTGACCGCAGTGCACTTGGATGTGCAGCCCTGTGGCAGTGGTTTACATTGTGTCTTAATTCCATAAAATGCAGGATTCTGCCCTGTCCCCCCCGCCCCGCCCCGAGTAAAATAAAGTTTAAAAAAAAGGCGTTAACTTTGTGTAGAAGGAATTGGAAACCTTTTGTGGGCTGCGTTAGAGCTGTCGGTACCACCGCGTGAAGCACGGAAGTCCTCGGACGGCCTTGCAGCTGTGAACGAGACTAAGGGGGAAGGGGAAACAGCAGAATTAAGCTGAAAACTCTAGTTCCTAGTAAAGTAGTTGTTAGGATCTATCTTTCTGATTTTATTATCCCCAGTGTATACTTTCAAACCTATAACATTTGATAAAAGTAGTTGTCCCCTTTTAATTAATTAATAATTAATGCGAGCATCTTTTTCTGATTGGTTGATTATGTATTTGTTTTCAGGCTGTGTCTTCTCTGCTCTCCCCTGCAGCCTTCCCTTTGGTTGCGGGAGTTGCGGTGGAGACGTGCCCTCTTTTGCCTTTCCAAGCTGTGTCGTATGGTGTTTTGTGTCCGTTGAGTTTCTCTGGAGGAGCGATGTCCGCTGAACCCATGCTCTCTCTTAGAAAAGGTGCACTGAATTGATCCTCTTACTTTTCAGGTTAATTGGAAGGTCTGCCGATGGTGTTCTCAGGGGTGATTCCCAACGAGAAAATACGAAATATTGGAATCTCAGCTCACACTGATTCTGGGAAAACCACATTGACAGACGGGTGCTTTATACACCGGCAGGATTGCAAAGATGCATGAGGTGTGTGGTTGTGGTGGGCTCCAGAGTAGTTAGAGCTTGGTTTTACTTGTTTTGTAGTTAATGGTTTGATAAACTTCACAAAACTTGAAAGGTTAAAAGAATGGTAACCGTGGATCTTAGTCAGTCATATCACACAGAGGATTGCTCAAGTTGGCCTGAAATGTTGCTCTCAGGAATCCGTCTAGACCATCACTGTGGGTATCCTGAGTAGATTGTCTTTTAAGAATGTTGTCAATATGATGTACCCTTCAACAGCCATTAAAATAGTATATACATAATTTTTAATGTTATTTAGAGATGTTTATAATGTTAAGTGGAAAAAATGGTTTTAAATAATATATAGTATGAGCTTGAGTTAAATACATTAGCAGAAAAAAATTTTTTTAAATCTTGAAACTCTCTTGAAGAAATTATATATCATTGAGTGACTTAACTTTCCATTTAAAAATATTTCTTCAGATAAAAGATCGTCTTGTTAAATCATACGCTTTAAAAGCTGAATCCTTCCCACCTGGGCCTCAGACTCTACATGCAGCAGAGCAGGGCAGAACCCGTTCTCTGAACATCTGCTCCGGACTAACACGAGGCCGGGGGCAGGAGCGGGGCAGAGGGAGCAACAATGGCTCTCAGACCAGGTGATTGCTCTGTGGGAGCCCTTGCTGGGAGCAGCAGTGAAAAGAGGGTTAGACAGTTCACAGAGGGTAAAACCTATTACCAGTTTTCTATTTCAAGAGATGATCTGGTTTGGTGATTAGGCTTCTTTGGAAATTGCCCAGTTAACCATCTGTGTTCTAGTTCCACCTCAGTAAAGACTTCTTTCCTTCTTGGAATATAGGGACAGAGAAATCTGAATCACTGTGCTTGTGTTTAGGTGAAAGGTAAAGATGGAGTTGGTGCTGTCATGGATTCCATGGAACTAGAGAGACAAAGAGGAATCACTGTTCAGTCAGCGGCCACCTATACCGTGTGGAAGGATGTCAACATCAACATTATAGATACTCCTGGTAAGCTGAGTTCTTGGTTTTGTTGCAGCTTATTTTGGCAAAAGCCCATTTAGTTCTTTTCTATTCTATGACCCAGCTCATTGTTGAGTATCAAATAATACTCTAAAGTGTGACTGTGAATTTCCTGTTAGAGAAATCTGACTTGGGACCTAGAGCATTTCGTCCTTATGTAGTTTCCTTGAAAAATAGTGCAAATAATTTGTGAGTGGGAAGGTTCTCACGTTTTATGTGTTGTAGCTGATCCAAAGGTGCCCATGTCCTGGTATCTTTTTGAAGTGATTTGGGGCTCTGGACCTTATGCTGGGTGAATGGTATGAGTGATTTAAGAAATCCACATTCTAGGGGCCGGCCCCATGGCCAAGTGGTTAAGTTCGCATGCTCCCCTTCAGCGGCCTGGGATTTTGCCGGTTTGAATCCTGGGCGTGGACATGGCACCGCTCATAGGGCCATGCCGAGGCGGCATCCCACATGCCACAACTAGAAGGACCCACAACTAGAATATATATACAACTATGTACTGGGGGGCGTTGGGGAGAAAGAGGAAAAATAGAATCTTTAAAAAAGAAAAAAGAAATCCACATTCTAATTAGAAGACTTATGTCGTGAAAGATAAAAAACTTTTAATTTTGCATGTTATAAAAAAATCAGACTGCTCTTTAAGACTTTCCCACACTTCTTTGTCTCATTTAGGGCACGTGGACTTCACAATAGAAGTTGAAAGGGCCCTGAGGGTGTTGGATGGTGCAGTCCTTGTTCTCTGTGCTGTCGGAGGGGTGCAGTGCCAGACCATGACTGTTAATCGTCAGATGAAGCGCTACAATGTTCCATTCCTAACTTTCATTAACAAACTGGACCGCGTGGGCTCCAACCCAGCCAGGGCCCTACAGCAAATGAGGTACCGAGCCTGAGAAAGGACAGGGGTTGTGACCATCTGGATAACAAACCTTACCTCCAGAAGTACGATTGATTCAGTGTCACTGGAAAAAGAAATTTATTTATGTGAGTGACTTATCTTAGTAAGTGGAACACTGAGGTCAGTAGTTTGATTTGTGTTGTGATCTCATCAACTGCCTTCTCTGTAAAATGGTGAAAATATGACTTAAATTGTAGGGTTGTTGAAGGTGAATTCAGAAGACAATCTGGCAATTACTGTTTTGCTGTACTTAGAAAAGTTATAATCTAGAGTAGATTTTAAAAGTTTGTTAGAGCTGTCGACATGATTTTGACTCCTAGTGACACAGCAGAGTGGTGTCTTTCTGCGCCGTCCTCTCACCGTATGGCGCTACATCAGAAGTATTCCACTGCTATTCACAGGGTTTTCATGGCCACTTTTTCTGGAACTGGGTGACCAGGCTCTTCTTCGCAGTCTGTCTAGTCTGGAAGCTCCACTGAAACCTGCCCACCATGGGTGACCCTGCTGGTGTTTGAATTCCTGGTGGCAGAGCTTTCAGCATCACGGCGACATGCAGCCACCACAGTATGACAACCAACAGAGGGCTGGTGTGGTTCCCTAATGGGGAAACGAACTCAGGCAGCATGGTGAGAGCGCCAGATCTTACCACTGACCACCAGGCCTGGCTAGATCCTAAAAGTACTTGCATTTACTGAGACAAACCTAAAAGATCATCTTCAACTAATTTTAATTAATGCCCTTAGGTAGTCTGCTCTCTTCCCTTGCTCTCATGTGGTAACGTATTTGCTGAGACACAGTAGCACTTCTTTCTGTTCCAGATGTTACCCAGTGGTATTTGTGGCATTTTACATTTTGCACAATACTGTGTGTGTCACATAACCTTGAGAAGAGTCCACGTTTCGCTCTTCACCCTTTGTAGCTGTGTAAATGGAGCTGTAGCGTTCCCACTCAGCTTTCCCATGGCAGAGCTGATTGATGGGTGTAGGCAGTCGGGTTCGTGGAGAGACTGAGTGATGTGTCCAGTGCCAGGAGGGATGGTGCTGAGGACCTTTGTATCGCTGTGTGCACAGATGGAAGTGAGCTATTTGGGAACATGAGAATGAAATTTTTCTTTATTGGGTGTTTGTCATATTTTCTTGGTAAAATAGAACGTTTTCACTTTTTTGCCTTTATTACTTATATTTTACTTGTGCTTGGCAGTAGTGGACTCTTCCCAAGTCTTTTTCTGAATTCCAGGAAAATTTTCTGTTAGCGTTTATTTTTCTACTTTGGTTCTTTAGTCTACTCTCTTTTTTTTTTTTGAGGAAGATTATTCCTGAGCTAACATCTGCCGCCAGTCCTCCTCATTTTGCTGAGGAAGACTGGCCCTGAGCTAACTCCCGTGCCCATCTTCCTCTACTTTGTGTGTGAAACGCCTATCACAGCATGGCGTGCCAAGTGGTGCCATGGGTTCCGAACCGGTGAACCCCAGGCCGCCGAAGCGGAATGTGTGTGCTTAACTGCTGCACCCTGGGCTGACCCCTACTCTCTTTAATCTGTTTTCCCATTTTGTAACTCTCCTTAAACAGATTTTGAAACTCCTGAATCTCGCCTTCTTAACTTTTCTGCCATACTTTCTGTCTCCTCCTCATTTTGCACTGGGTTACAAGAGAATTCTTGAGGTCAGTCTTCCAGCTTACTACTCTGATATTCATCTGCATCCCTTCTCTTGTTTAGCCTGTAGTTTTCTTTTTAATTTCAGCAATTATATAGTTAATTTCCATAAACTTTCTCTTTTACTGCAACATCTTTGTTAATAGAGGTAATTACTTCTCATCTTTACACTTTATTTTCTTATAGTAACTCTCTCTTTGGACGTTAGTTCTATTTCTTGAACTCATGCCTCTCTTTCAAGCTATTGGTTTCCTTAAAATATTTGGTGATTGTTAGTTATCTATCCATAGTTACAAATGGGGGCCTAAAGTCTAGACTGGATGTTGGTAGCTGGAGCCCATTTCTTCTTGAGGGAGAAGCCCTGCTGGTGAGTGTGGCTTCTGTTCAGTGGTTGGCCTGAGTCGGGATACGGGCTGGTGACGAGTGTCTGCCTTTAGCACCTACTCTGAGAGTCTTCCCCTAAGAACTTCCTCTTCAGATGGCAGTACTCGGCTTCACGAGAGTCGGCTGATCCGAGAATGAGGCGTGGGCACAGTTATCCCACCATCTTCAGATTTCCTGGCTGACTACCCATTGACCTGTTCTTCCCCCTTCGGTTTCTGATCCAGGCTATTCTGGGGATCTGATGGCAAAACACTTACTTTAGAGTTCTTTTTGTTGCCTAAATAGGGTTGTGGCTTCCTGAGCACGAAGAGTTTGGTTGTCAGTCTGTCCCTGACTGCCGTATGTCTTCCATTCTGACCTGCTGGTGACACCCCTCGCTGTCCCACCTCATCTGCCATAGATTTCTTTTTATATTTATTTTGTCATTTCAGAGACATTTGGGGTGAAGAAAGAGGTAAACATATGTATTTTTATTTTTCAGGTCTAAGCTAAGTCATAATGCAGCGTTTGTGCAGATGCCCATTGGTTTGGAGAGCGATTTTAAAGGGATTATAGATCTTATTGAGGAGCGAGCCATCTATTTTGATGGAGACTTTGGGTAAGTATTAAAAATATATTAAAATCTTACATTTTAAAAAGTATGAAAGAGAAGGAAAAGAATGAGTTCTTTAAACGCAGAGTAAACATCTTTTTGAAATGAGGCTGGGAGAATATCCTTTAAGCTGATTCTGTTCCAATGCCTTTAATCCTGGTTTCTTCCTGTTTTGCTTAGTATTCATTCCAAGGGAGAGTAGGTTAATTTTTCGCTAATGGATTTCTATCACATTGTGCCCTGCCTGGTGTGGTGGAAGGAGGCCTTCAGCTTGGGCTAGGAATGCAATCTCTCTTTTTCAACTTATTTATTTATTCGTTCATTCATTCTGCAAACTTTTTTGGAGCAGCTGCTATGTCTTGGGTCTTGTGACAAAAACTATGAAGAAAATAGGGATCATAAATATTTTCTCTGCCTATTTCATGAGATTACAAAGATAAAAAGATTAATATGTAAAGGCGGTTAAAAATTGCACAGATGTGGTTTGGGCAATATAAGAAGCAAATTGGTAACTTTTTGACATGGTATTTGGTCCATCAGTCCACTTTTGAGTGACCTTTGCATACAAAGCACTATAATTGCCCAGTGGTTATCAAACCACAGCATTCAGAAAAATCCCCTGGAGAGCTTGTTAACGCACATGTTCCTGGATCTTCCTTCGGAGATTCTGATTCAGTACATCTAGGGTGGGGCCTGGAATCTGCGTTTCTGGAAAGCCCCCAGGTGATGCTGATGTTGCAAGTCTGCAGACCACACTTTGAGTGGCACTAATCTAGACAATGTGGGGAGTGGTAAATGACCCTTTGTTCTGAGGAGTGGCCCCAAGGGCCTGGCACTTTCTCCAAAGGTACTTCTTGAGGGATTTCCTTCCTCTGCTATGGAACTGGGATTGCTGGTCCTGCAGGTGGGTGAGAGGGCCTATGATCAATTAGCTGTAGAGTTTATCTCATCTTGTAGTCAGGGAAAAGATGGAGGCTGTCCAGCGGATGAGGCATTTCTCTCACTTTTCGTGTGACCGCAACAAAGTTTGTCTGTCCTTCCTTAGAATGTAAGGCCCAAGAGGACAGGGATTTTTGTCAGCCTTATTCCTTCATGTCCCTAGCCCCAGAACAATCTGGTACGTAACAGGGACTCAAAACATTTTGGTAGGTAAAGGATTAAATCCACTTCCCCAGAATTACCAGGGCACACGTTTCTGTCCTCTAAAGTGAAGGCTTGTCAACTTTGTTGTGCATCAGAACCCCAGGTGGAACCTCTTAATATGCCTGCCCCTGCTCAGCGCTGGCCCGCCGGGCATGTGTATGTTCTGATGTGAAACGCTAAGGGTCAGGGAGCTTGCGGGAAGGAAGGAATTAAGCTCTAAAAGCTGTGAAGAGCATTCTTTAGGATAATAATTATTTTCTGATCATTTGCAATTGGCTTCTTTTACTTTTTTTGATTTAGAAATGTGTTTTCTGAAAAGCTTATTATTTTTTGACATTAAGTTCCATTTTTAAAGAAATACTTTGAAAACTTTCCGACTGTTGTTTCTAAGTGTCAGGTGTATCCATTTCTTGGTTGTGTATGTTTTATTTGTGACTCTTAGCTATTCGGCCCCTAGAGGAATGAAGCATTGGGATCAAAGTTGAAGAGTCTGCGTATTTAGTAACCTTTTTTTTTTTTTTTTTACTGCAAAATGGGTTAGTCTGTGTTAAAAATTATGTGATTGGTTTGTTATTAATGGAAAGCAATGGAGTCGGGTCTCTAAATCTGCTTGTTAGAGACCATGATGTTCTGATTCATTTGGGCAATAAATTTTCAGGTGCTCACATGGGCTTTGGGGTCAGACTGGTTTCGAATCCTGCCGCTTCCATTCACTAGCAGGACACCCTTGAGCGGTTTGCTCTGGCTGTGTCAGTGAAGTATTTTGCCCACTGTTTTGTCTGAACTTTAAAGCTGTATGTTAATCTTATTTGCCGTTATACTGCAAATATATCAGAGCTCTTTATCATCTGAAAAAATATTTTAGCCATTGGTTTATCTTTTTCATGGGTGCTTTATGTGTTTAATCGAATATCCTCAAAGTACCAAAATAAACGTTTCTTTTCTTAGTCAAGTTGTTCGATACGGAGAAATTCCGGCAGAATTCAGAGCAGCAGCAGCTGACCGCCGGCAGGAGCTGATTGAGTGTGTTGCTAATTCAGACGAGCAGCTTGGTGAGATGTTCCTGGAAGAAAAAATCCCCTCTGTTTCTGATTTAAAGGCAGGTGCCGTCGAACTGGGCCTTAAGTTGACAAAGCACGAGGTGGGGGGGTCTGGTTTGCAGTGAGGAGATGTGATGCTTTCCGATGGGCTTATTCATGGAATCTGAGTAAACTTATTTAACATGATTGCTTTCTTCAAAAAGTACTCGAGGGCTAGCCGTGTGGCCTAGTGGTTAAGTTCATTGTGCTCTGCTTTGGCTTCCCGGGTTTGGATCCCAGGGCAGACCTACACCACTTGTCAGCCATGCAAGTGTGTAAAGTGGAGGAAGACTGGCTCAGGGCCAGTCTTCTCAAGCAAAAAAAAGAGGAGGATTGGCAACAGAGGTTAGCTCAGGGCGAATCTTCCTCAGGAAAAAAATAATACTTGACATGGTCTCGTACTCTTTTTTTTTAAGTAATGAGTTATGTAATATTTTTAAATGGAAAAGGAGTCATAGTTTGTTCTAGAAAAAAAGATACTTAAATAGCTAACCTCTTGGGTATGTCCTTATTAGAAAGAAAGAAGATATGTAGAGAAATGTTACAGCAATAAGAGAGGTTAAGAGACAAGGCTGCTGGGGCTGGCCCCGTGGCCGAGTGGTTAAGTTCGCGCGCTCCGCTGCAGGCGGCCCAGTGTTTCGTCGGTTCGAATCCTGGGCGCGGACATGGCACTGCTCGTCAGACCACGCTGAGGCAGCGTCCCACATGCCACAACTAGAGGAACCCACAACGAAGAATACACAACTATGTACCGGGGGGCTTTGGGGAGTAAAAGGAAAAAATAAAAATCTTTAAAAAAAAAAAGAAAAAAAAGAGACAAGGCTGCTAAGTGTTTGCTGACTGCATGTTGGTAGTTACACTGTTGTACTGTTTGGAAGGCTGTATAGAGTCTTTCATTTCATTGCTCAACTCTTTACAAATAAAGAGAAGATCCCTGCCTAAGACTGGTAGCCATTTTTTGATTATATGTTTCTGCATAGAAGATAACAAATGACCAATAAGCACATGAAAAGATGCTTAAGATTGCGAACCATGAGGGAAAGCAAAGCAAAACCACAGTGAGATACTGCTTCATCCATTAGGATGGCTATTATTTCAGAAAAACAAAAAAGCAGATAATAGGTGTTGGCAAGGATGTGGGGAAATTGGAACCCTTGTGCATTGCTGATGGGAATGTAAAATGATATAACTGCTGTAGAAAACAGTATGGCAGTTCCTCAAAAAACTAAACAGAACTACTGTATGATCCAGCCATTGCACTTGTGTATACCCAGAAGAGCTGAAAACAGGGACTCAAACGTACTTGTCCACCAGTTTTGATAGCAGCACTATCCACAGTAGCCAGGAGGGGGAAATGAGCCAAATGTCCGCCAATGGATTAATGGATAAGCAAAATTGGTATATACATGCAATGAAATATTATTGAGCCTTTAAAAAGGAATAAGATTGTGATACATACTATGTGAATGAACCTTGAAGACATTATGCTAAGTGAAATAAGCTAGACACAAAAGAACAAATATTTGATTCCACGTATATGAGGTACACAGAACAGTCAAATTCCTAGAGACAGAAAGTAGAATAGTGCTAATCGGGCTGGGGAGGGGCCGAAAGATAAGTAAAACACTTTGACTCTAATTTTAAAAAAGGAAAGACAAAAGAAATAAAGAAACAATTACAAAAAAGGAAATGCAACTGCATAAACAGTATATGAAAAAATATTCTCTATCATTAGGAATTAAGGCAAGATGAAATATTAAAATGCCATTTTCATGTATGAAATCAGTACTGATTTTTAATAAATAATACTCAATTTGAACAAGACTCATTGAAATAACCTAGTACATTAATTCTGAGAGTATGAAAGCAATCTGGCAATACAAACCATTAAATATTAAAACATTCCATACTTTAAACTGAATAATCACTATTCTGGGATGCTAAGAAAGCATTCCTAAATACCTATTTTTAAAAGCTTTATGCATAAAATTGTCACTGCACAGTTATTTCTACTTTTGAATTTAAAATTATTTTCTCATTTTAGAAGTAATAAGAAGTAGATTGTAAAAATTTAAAAATAAAAACTAGGAAAAAGTCCCCAAATAAAATTCCATCCCAGAAATAACCACTCTTCACACTTCTAACTTATCCATCATTTTTCCCCACTTAAAATATTAGGACCAGAAGCAACAATATCCCAACAAAAAGCACACTCCATGCTCAAATCTTGGTTCCTAATACTATTCTTGATTAAAAGGAATCAGGGCTCCTAGAGAAATGGCTGATTCTAGGGCTTGGGCCATGTAATGCCACAAAGTAAGGAAGTATTCAAAAAAGCAAAACATTGAAGAACGTCAAAAGACACAGGAGCCAACGGAAAGAGCTCCACTGGCCAAAGCTGGGCAACAGAATAAGTGACATACTACTGGATTACAACTCAAACTACAAATAAATATCCATGAATCCATACTGATATAAATAATGACTGAATAAACACATAAACGGGGTGAAGAGACAACTCTCCCATATAGAAGAATCCCAAGTAAGTTAATGTAGATGCTGCTCCTTCCAGGAGGGGGAGCTGATGCCCCACCCCTTAACTGTGGCTGTGCATAGTAACTTCCTTCTAAAGAGTCAGTATCAAAAGGGGGAAAAAAGAGTAACTTTATAGCAGAGAACCCTGTAACCAAATCTTTTAGAGTCAATTTATAATAGGAATAAAAACCTAAAAGAAAAGAAAATCTCTACCTACAGCAGTTAAATACATTAGAAAGCAACTTACCTCCAGTTTAAAAGCCAGGCCTACGAATGGGTGAGAACTGTCTCTTTTGGAGTTCATTAAGATTTTGGTTTTTTCTTTTGAATCACTTAAAATAAAAGAAACATAAATCTATGAGATGCAATATTTAATACTTCTTTTATATCAATTTATTTCATCAGAGTATTAGCTAAGAAAATGCACGTGTGTTAAACGTTTCTGACCTCACATAAATGAAATTTCTTTGAAAGAGATCAGTAAGAATAACTTCCTTGGGCTTAGTTACAACATGGTGACAGGACCAGAGCAGACTAAAAAATACAGAAATTATCTGGTAGAGACAGGAAAGAAAAATAATCAATGCGTGCTTAAAAAAGTCTGTTTCTTAAAGGAACCATTGCTATCATATTGCGTAAGTGTTAACGTATTTCTGCAGAAACTAGGAGTCAGTTTGCAAGACTTACTCCTCCTGATGAAGAAGAGCATAATTCGGGACTTCAGATGGATTCGGTAGATACTCTAAAACAGCATCTAAGAGAGGCTGGACGCCTTTGTTCTTCAAGGCACTTCCCAAAAAGACAGGAGTAAAGGACCTATTTAGAGTAGCTCTTCGGATTGCAAGCTGCAACAGAAAAAAATTTAATGATTAATCTTAAAAATTACATTTTTTGTTTCAGATCAATTATAAACCAACAAATGAATGAAATGCATTGATACTCTCTGGAGTACTGGCTCTAGCGGAGACTAGCATCAGGTTCTCTATAACTTAAGGTCAAAATAAAAGAAAAAGAAACAAAATCAGTTCCTTTTTCAGGGCTTGGAAGCTACGTACTGTACAACGGCTTTCAACATTCTTGGAATGTCACTAATTTTCAATTTGGCAAAAAAAGATACATACACATAGAAAATAGACACATACACAGAAGAGTGTGAACAGTATGCTAACAATTGCACAAAATAGAGGGAAAAGTTATACATATGCAAAAAAAAATCTCTGGAAAGATACAACAGAAACCATTTACCAGTAACCTGCTTTAGGGAGGGGCAGAGAACTGAGCAGAGGGGAGACAGGTGGGAGATTTTTTACTGTATATCTTTGTATACTTTAAAAAATTTTAAACCATATGAAAGTATCATCTATTAAAAACACTTGGGGCCGGCCTGGAGGGGCAGTGGTTAAGTTCGCACCCTCCACTTTGGCAGCCCAGGGTTCACCAGTTTGGATCCCCAGCAGGGACCTACACACCACTCATCAAGCCATGCTGTGGTGGCATCCCACATAGAAGAATTAGAAGGACTTACAACTAGAATATACTACTATGTACTGGGGTTTTGGGGAGGAAAAAAAAGAGAAAGATTGGCAACAGACGTTAGCTTAGGGCCAACCTTCCTTACCAAAAAAAGGCATACCTTAGAAAACACTTGATTTTTATTTATTTTTTTAAAAGAACATACATACAGGAAGTCCAGCGGTACGGATCACTCATCATAAAGGGCAATGAGAGTAAGAGGCTCTACAATAACGAACACCAGGCTTTAGTGCAAGCCCTATCAGTGGGCCTCAGGCTGCATCCCCAGGTGCCCGAATGGCCCAGGAGGTCTCCAAGCGTAGCAGTGGAGCGTCAGCTCTTGCAGCTGAAAGAGGCCAAGGGCAGTGCTGTGGCCACAACCTACCTCTGCAGAAAATGGAGCCAGCATACAGTTATTTGTCAGTCCTCATGAAAAAAAAAAAACTACCCTCAAAAAGCTTAAAGCAAAATATTTATAACCAAAATTTTTAAACATCAGAAAATGAAAAGTAAGATAACAGCTAGCATGATAAAACAGAGCAGAACAGGGAAAACATGCACGGCAAAAAAACAATTACTATTTGAAACTACCTTAGCAACTTGATTTTGCCATTGCTAGGAACCAAAAATGGCTAGGTCACTAACCACCGAGGCTACCCAGGCCACATGGTCACATCCTTGACTTCCACCCCTCCCTTATACGCAAGTAGGGGCATATAAGAATCTTACCATGCTTACTTTACATCCATTGGATAGAGAAACAAATGAGAGTGGTAGATAAATAGAAAAACTATTCCTATACCAGCCTAACAAAAGCTGTACTTTTCCAAAATTTTCCCTTGTTTCTTAAGAAACACTTTGTTGACTTCCACTGTCTCTAATAATAATATATCCAACAATACAGAAACTAAAGTTACCCACGCATCCTGTGCAGAAAACAGTAAACACAGCAGGACTGGAAGTGCTATCCTAGAATGGCCTGCTTGCAAGGTTGGCCCCTGGCTGGTGTCTGGGAACCAGGATTTCAGGAGGGTGCCCAGCATTCCCAGAAGTGCTAAGACTGGTTCACCGGGCCAAGACTGTTTGTACAATGTGGTATATGCTAAACACCTGCTTTCCCTCTGGGAGTCCAGGAATTGGTGCATGCCAGGTAGAGGGTGTCATGTGACCAGCCCCCAATAAAACCTTAGGCACCGAGTTTCTGAGAAGCTTCCCTGGTACTATTTCACAGGCGCAGGCACAACTTGCTGCTGGAGGAGTCAAGCACGCCTACGTGACTACACTGCGAGAGAACTCGTGGAAGCTTACACACGGTTTCTTCTGGACTTCACTTCACGTGCCTATTCCCTGTGCTGATTCTGCTGTATGTCCTCTCTCTGTAAGAAATCACAGCCTTGAGTGTGACTATGTCCTGAGTCCTGCGAGTCCTCCTAGTCAACAAACCTGGGCGTGGTCGTGGGGACCTCTTCCACATTCTGTTCAATAGATAAAAACCTAACTCTATTGTGGTTCCCAGGACACAATACTTGACTTTATTTATGGCCAGACCTATCCCTTCCTACACTGTGTTCCCTACTCATCAGAGAACTGAGGTGGTGAGCTTTGTGAGCGGTAAAGGACTAAGTTATGAGATATATTAGTAAGCATCCTCAGCTTCAACAGTTCTTTCCTTGGGCATCTGACCTGGAAACTCCATGAGTGCAATGTTTTACACACAATAATTACTTACGTGATTTCTGCTAAGTGCATGAAGTGGTTAGACAAAATGAATATCAGTCATTTTTTTATAATGATAAAATGTCCATAAAATAAAATTTACCATTTTAACCATTTTTAAGTTTACGGTTCAGTGGCATTATGTACATTCACATTGCTATCTTACCATTACCACTATC